CACGAGCGCCATGCTGCGCGGGAACCCGAGCTCCAACGTGGTGACGTCGGGGGCCTGACCGCGCGACCCGAAGAACCCCGTCGTCGTCGGACACAGCACCCCGGTACACACGGCGAGGGCGTTGTGAGGAATAATAATGGTATCTGGTTCGGCGGAGACTGCCCGCCGCTAATATCACCGTTTACTGTAATTATTATTTTGTTCTCTTCCTTTCCTTCTCTCCCGACTTCTTCTTCGCAGAATGTGCGTTTCCGAGAACTGTTACTATTTGCGACAACGCAAGGCAGGAGACGTGACAGCTGGGCCTACCCGTTGACAAAGTCTTGACCTCGCACGGCACCCGAGAGGTCACACTTCACAGTCAGAAGTCACACGCGGGATCACTCGCACACGTTCTGCAAGTCAGACGGGCCCTTCCAGCATCATGACTGCACACGGAGTCTGCGGTGACCGCTAGATCGACCTGGCGAGGCGAGAAGGCCACGCGAAGACAGCAGCACTTACGACACAACACAACCTCAGCTGGTTCGAGACCAACTGCTCTGTGCTGGGCCTGCTTGAACCCTGACACCCGGCCCCTGCGACCCCTCCTCCCCCCTTTGGCTCAAGCCACGATCTGTTTCCGACCAGCCAGCCGGAGCTCCACTGTTTCCATAGCAACCGTCTGCCATGTATGGATGGTTTGCCACAGAGGGGAGAGGGGAATCGCGGCCCTGGCAAGACTTCGGGCTCGCCCCCGACCAAGAGGCCACGGCTCCCGCGTTCTCTGATTGGCTCGCACTCACATCCGTTATCCACCGCTAGGGAATTTGCCTCGCCGCTTTCACGGGAGTTTTAATTTCGCGAAACGGAGATGTCTACGGCGACGTGTCTGTTCCAGCAGAAGGCAGAGCTCTGCGTCTGACTGCATGCGGTCTACGGCCTGTGGGTACCGCTGTCTTCAGTCAACACATCTGCGAATTATTCACCTTGCGAATGTTGGGCGTCGGTCTGACAAGGAGGGGGAGATGACACTTCCGTGCCCCTTTCAGGGCGCATGCCAAGAGGTCACCTCCCCTCCTTCACCACCATGTACTTAACAACCCCGTGAATGATACTCTCCACCCACATATTGCGGGGGCGGGGCACCAATCAGAACTAGGGGAACCCCAATGTGAGGTGCTAAAAATGGGCAGGGCGTCGGTCTTTTGATATTCTGCGTCGGCGGTAGCGCCGTGACGAGGTCGGAGGGTCGCCTCACTCGGCAGCGTGGAGCTGACCGCCAGAGGTGAGGAAGGTGACCTGCACGACGCCTCCTGACCCAAACTGCTAATAAAATAGATGGACGTCAGCCGGCAGTGGACTGGACTGCCTAAAACAACTTCTCGTCAGAGAGCACCTTCAAAGCCCAGTGGTGATTTTTGTAGCACCTGCTTTCTGTTTCGCTGCTCTGCATTCTGTCCACAGAGAGTTTTTATGGGTTTCTTTTGCTTCTTAGTACGAACCGGAATTATTTTGCGAGATTTCGGGTTTTCACGGCGACGAGTGAGAAGAAGACTGTACAGTAAAGTTGAGCTCTTTGGTAGCTATTGACCGACGTTTCGGATGCGCTCACTACCTCCATCACCAGGGCGATGAGAGCTGATTATGAAGGTACTAAGAACTTCTGGAATGTCGGTCACTGCATTGCGCGACGTCTCAGAAAACAGTAATCTTTAGGAATCATTTCCTTAAACAGCAAACGCTTTGATCTTTGTAATGGACACATGTTTGTTTTCATTGAGTCAGGAGAGGCAGGGATTGAATATGCTAAATATTACTTACGTAGATGACGTATGATGATATGGCATTTTAATTGGTTTGATCGTACCGAATTTTGCTAGACCTGTAGATGGACCGAATTCGAACCGTACAATAGAGGACTTTTCTGGCAGACTAATGCATGATACAGTCAAAAAAGACATCAAGAGTCCAGATAGCTATTAATTAAAACAGGGTTGTCCCACTCCTTTCTTTTCTCGGGCCAGTAATAGTTGTACTGTTGTACCCCAATGGTCAAGAAATTCCTCCTGGGACTGTTTTTGAAAACTAGACAGTTTTCGTCGTCTTTAACAACCCTTTTTCAAATATAATAAATTACCTCAATATATGCTCAAATAATCCTGTATATTTTATTGCTAGAGCTAAATATTATTTTAAATTTACTCCTGCAACAGCTTATGGGCTCATCTGACGCAATTTTTACCTGGAAAACGTAGTACATTTTACCGTAGGATTATTAACCCAATAACACTATTACGTAAAGCAGCAGACGAGATAAGTATCGCAGTATTTTTAAAAAATCGATCGGAGTAAAGAAAACAAACGAGCTTTTACTAACTATGAACAAATTAACAAATAGGCCTTATTTCGCTAAAGGTGATGTCTGGCCGGATGTAGTCCGCGGGCCACCAGTTCCGCTACGCTGAACTGGACCATAAATTCGCACTGTAAACTGGAGAAACGATCACTACTTATCAGGCAAACCCGAGATTACAGGCTGCTATCAAAAATTCGCACGCTCCTGAAAATATCCACTTGTCAGTTCTATAGAGTTCTTATTGTCTGATCGTAACAGAGCTACCTGCAACCTCAAATTCCTACTTCATTCTTTCTGTTTCGAAATTCTTGGCCAAAATTATATATAGGCCTATTGTCGAGATATTTTGCTGTTATTTAATGGTTACAGATCACAGAACGTTTAATGTGGAGTGAAGAACTTGACCTTTAGAACGTAAGCCAGCAGTTGAATGATCGTCTCTTTTTTTACTAACACACGTAGATGGTCTGCATGAAATTCTTGAAATTCTTGGTTGCTGTCGTAAAATGGCAGCTGTAACTCGCATGCTTTGAGGCAGCCTTGCGAAGTCGCCAAGGACAGCGAAGTTGTGCAGGGTTAAAATTAGTATTTTAAAGGCTCTTTCCAGAAGACAGTCTCAATCGGTCTGTTCCGAGGTCAGATTCATGGCCACACCCAAGCTGCTGTTGTCTAACTGCTCCAAAGGCTGAAACCTGATATTCTTCTGCCCTGTACATTGTATTGATTTTCGTCTCAGCAGTTACATGATGAGGACTATTCCTTCCAGGCCGAGTGGTGAGGGAAAAGTAAGTTTGAAGGTGGCTACTGTGCCGTGCAGTCTGGTCAAAAGTGACCGACGTTTCGAATGTGCTTACTGGCTCCATCATGAAGAGGATAATTCTCGTCGGCATTGTGTGTTACTTGTGCATACGATAATGGAAGAAGACCATGAGGTCTACCTGGAGGAATGTGGTGGTGATTATGTGCACCTACACAATGTCACTTCGTCGCCGGAATACGCACCTTAAGCCCCAGAAATTGCTTTGGCTGGAGGATTCGAAGACGTTTTTGTAGAAGTGGAAGACGTTTGTAGACGTCGAAGGCGAAACAGCCCGGTTCATTCCGGTCACTAAGACATCTGCCATTCTACTCAGAAATTGACTTAGCATGATCTCTTGTGATGTCAATTTAAAAACCTAAAAGTTTTCTCGTGGTTCATGCGCCATTCTAATGACTGAGATAATGCCAGTCACAGTTCGGGTGCAGTTATGCAGTAGCAAGCCCGGACGGCGACAGAAAACGCCTAATGATTTAATCAACAGCATTGTAATGAGACACTGGTTGGAGTTCTCCAACTTAAACTGGACTAATGGGCGTGTGATGTAGTCAAGCAGTGACAGCGAAGGAGTGAAGTTCTTTGACTGAAGACCCATGCCTTAGTTCTTAAGGAAGCTTTCTTCCGGCAGACTAACAGGCATTTTCTCCATCTCCCGTACCTCTAACGCGGTAACGGGGAGCGAACAGTTGAGCGAAGGAATTCTAGCTCTGTGACGCAGGGTCCTTCGTGACAAGTTGATTGCCGTTCCGCTAGTCAAGAGATTTCTCCCTCCTTGCCGACATTGCGCGTGGCGGGATGGCTTTGCCTTTATCTTTCCCTTTTACTCCACCCATTGTTTTTTTAGGCAAATCAATAATTTTCAAGCATAACGATTAAAACACCGAATTTCTGACTTGCATGGAGGAACGGTGTGGCAGCACACTCGTTTGCACGAGGTGTGGAGTGGACGCACCTCAGCAAGACACTTCCTGACACACTCAACAGCGCCCGAGCAGAAACTTGCAGACAGAATGATGGAGGGGAACACAATTTAATAAAGAGTCGTATTCATCTCCTAGCAGCGGGCAATGTTGTCACCCTGCTTCTCTCTCTTTCTCTCTCTCACTCTCACTTAAAGCTTGGTTAGCTACTTGTTGTGCGGGATCTATAATTCTATTGGAATGGCGTGTTTGGAATGCTAAAACATGGTCTGTCGCACAATAAACAGCTTTTCTTTCCTATCAAAAGTTTTTCCATACGCTCGGAAACATGCAGCGTTAAAATCAAAGGCTGCTGTTTGATTTGACGATGTAGTAAGGAGCTCTGATTACAGGCCTGTAGCAGATGTTCTTAATTATTTCAGATATCCCTTCTTATCGGTTCGCTGGCCGACGGGTTATAAAGATAAAAGTTTAGTGAGCTATATAGCACTTATTAAAATATTAACTTACTTTGCAACCATGTTCATATATTCAGCTACTTAAAATTCTTAATCAGAATCAGTTATTATAATGCTTTTCCATGATCAGCCTTTGAATGTCTGTTTTAATTGTTGCATCCTTCTAAGTCATTTTCAGTTCGATTATTCCTAGTTCTTTATGCGATGTTTATCATTAAGATGAACATTTTGTTATAGGGATAGGTAATACCAATGATATTCAACGATAGAAAGCAAAAATTTTCCTGATTTCTGCACATCATCATACAGGTAACAAAATACTGAAAAACTGCACGTCCACCACAAACATATATCGTTAACAAGCTGTAATTATGCCTCTCTAATTATTTCCTTTATCTGAAGCTTTGTCTTTGCCACGAAGTTCCTTTGTTACAGATTTAATTGCTTGTTATAAGTTTCTAGACTTTGGACATATTCAGTGACCAACTGGAGCTGTTATCTCAGTGCCAGCCTTAAAAATGCTGAAAGGAGTCTGAACATGCCAGTCTCCTGTCTTTTATCCACTACGATAAGAAAGTCGACAGTTGGGATAGAGGCAAGTACTCTTAATGACAGGCAAATGTAACGCTGGAAGG